GGGGAAGAAGTTATTTTACTCCCTTTTGCAGAATAATTATCTTTTCATTTCAATATAATATCCATCCAGAACTTAACTCCTCATTTGCTCTGCTATCCTGAAAATGAGGCACAATTGGTAAAATGGAAAACAGAGTGAAGGCATATATATACCAACAATGGTTCTCATAAAGAATATATCAAGTTTAATAAAAAATAAATGTTAAACATTTAAAAAGTTAATTTATTGAAAATATGAAGTTGGGAAGAGCTCAAGTGGTAGTGCAGTCAGTTCCTAAATTCATCTTTGTAAGTACAGTCTTACCACATGTGTTAGCTGAACTATTTCTCTACTTCAGACTGTAGCCTACTTTGATTAGCTCATTTTGTTAAATTCTTTTTTCAACATGTTATTTTGAAAACTTTCAGATCTATAGGAGAGTTAAAAACTATTACAATGAACACCCAATTCCTCTCACTTAACTCTACTAATTATTAACTTTTACTGTATTTCTGTGTGTGCTCTCTTTGTATGTATGTGTGTTTGCTAAATCAATTGAAATTAACTTGCTGATATCACCCCTAAGTACTTTAACGTGTGTCTCTTTAAAACAATGGCATCCTTCTATATAACCACAATTCCATCACTGTACTCAAGACATTTAACATTGGTAAATAATCGGATCTAACATACACTTCATAATCAAATGTTATAATTTCTTTAATCATTTTTTTGGACAAAGAATCCAATCAAAGATCACACAATGTGTTTAGGAATCATGTATTTTTAAATTTAGAATATTCTTCCCTTCCTCCTTGTTTCTTTTTTTTTTTTTCTGTTTTCATGACATGGACATACTTTGAAGAGTTCGGGTCTGTTATCTTGTAGCATGTCCTACAATCTAGATTTGTGTTGTGGTTTTCTCATAATAGTTAAACAGGTTTGTAAGAAAAATATACATGTGCATGTACTGTGCATTCCTTGTTTTTCCATATACATGTTATATTTTGCCATTTCTGAGGCTTTGCTCACACAGACCATCTCTTTAATTAATGCCTTCCCTCATCACATCTTTACAAAGCTCGGTTCAATATTTAACATTCTCTACACAATTTTCCTAATGCCCTCCAGCATGAAATAATCTTTGAATGTCCAGAATACTATAGCTTTTCTTTTCTTAATACATTTACAATTTTTTTTTTTACTTTGTATTATTATTTTCATTTATCCACATTTTTTTTTTTTTAACCTTCTCTCCAATGAAAGTCTCCTAAGGGCAGACCTAATTTATCTAGATTCCCTGGAATCTAGTACATGGTGGTTCACAAAGTAGGCAATCAATATATATAGTTGTTGAGTGAATGCCTAGATGGATGAATGAATGAATGAATGAATGAAAATGTTATCTTTGGTTTCTGAGATACAGTGAGTTGGTAAAAAATGTAATGTTTCTTTAAAAGGTTTGAATAATTTCTCCCATGTACTTTCTGCACCCAGAATAGTCTACTTTTTGTTTTTAATACAATTTTAGTTTTAAGAAAAACAAAGTATGTATATTATATGTCTTGGTGTAGCTGTTTTATTTTATTTATTTTTTGTGGTAAGTGCCCCTAGCAGGAACGGAACCCGGGACTCTCTGGCCCGCAGGCCGAAGCTCAACCACTGAGCCAAACTGGCCAGGGTGGAATAGCTGTTTTAAAAATCAACTTGCTAAGCATTGAGGGAAGCCTTTTGATCTGGACAATTCATTCTTTCACTTTGGAAAATAGTTTTATATTATTATTATTTTTTTTATAATTTCCTCTTTTGCATATTTTCTGTTCCCTGTGGAATAAAGAACTATAAGTCAAGACATTGAAACTTCTGGATTGATCCTCTGCATCTCTTATCTTTTCTTCCTTATTTTCTATCTTCAACTTTCTAAAAGATTACTTCCAACCTATTATTGACCTTCATTTAAAATTTGGAAATTATATTTTTAATTTTCAAGAGTTCCGTTTTTGTTTTTTGGGTGGCCTTTTTATTTACTTTTATTGTTTTTTATTTTTTTATCCTTACCCGAGGACATTTTTCCATTTTTTGTTCAGACAGAGTGGGAGGGAGAGAGAGGAAGAGAGAGAGAGAGAGAAACATCGACATGAAAGGGACACACGTGAAAGGGACACATCAAGTGGCTGCCACCTGCACGACCAACCAGGGCCAGGGACAAACTGCAACCAAGGCAGGCGCCCTTAGCGGGAACCGAACCCAGGTCTCTCCAGAGCGCAGGCTGATGCTCTAACCACTGGGCCAAAACGGCCAGGGCTGGGTGGCCTTTTAAATAACATCCATCTATTGTTTTATGGATGCAGTATCTTTTAAAATCTCTATGGAGCATTCAATGGTCGCCGGTTTGATTTCCGGTCAGGGCACATGCCCAGGTTGGCCCTGATCCCCAGTCTGGGGCATGCAGGAGGCGGCCAATTGATGTTCTCTCTCATTTATATTTCTGTCTCTCTCTCCCTCTCCCTTCCTCTCTCTCTAAAAATCAATAAAGTAAAAAATATTTTAAAAATAAATAAATAATTAAAACAACAATGAGGTATCACCTCACACCTGTCAGAATGGCCACCATCAACAAATCATCAAAAAACAAGTGCTAGCAAGGGTGTGGAGAAAAGGGGACTCTAGTACACTGCTGGTGGGAATGCAGACTGGTGCAGCCACTATGGAAAACACTATGGTGTTATCTCAAAAAATTAAAAATTGAACTGCCATTTGACCCAGTGATCCCACTTCTAGTAACATACCCTAAGAAGCCTGAAACACCAATTGGAAAGAATATATGTACCCCACGTTCATAGCAGCACTATTTACAATAGCTAAGATCTGGAAACAGCCCAAGTGTCCATCAGTAGACGAGTGCATAAAAAAGCAGTGGTACATATACACAATGGAGTACTTTGCAGCTGTAAGAAAGAAAGATCTCTTATCATTTGAGACGACATGGAGGGACCTGGAAAGTATCATCCTAAGTGAAACAAGCCAAACCGAGAAAGACAAGTACCATATGATCTCACTTATTTGTGGAATATAATGAACATAACAGTCTGAGGAATGGGGTAGTCCCTGAGATGTGGAAGTGGGGTATAGACTGACAATCCCCAGAAGAGGGGGTGGTGGGGGAGAGATAAACCACAGAACTTATATGCATGTATGCATGAACAATAGACATGGACAACAAAGCTGGGGATTGGGCAGGGAGGGAGGGGGAGGGGGAATTAGTGGGGGGAAAAGGAGAAACATCTGTAATAAAAATTAATTAATTAATTAATAATAAATAAATAAATATCTCTATGAAAATATTAATTAAAACTTTTCTTCTGTTCCCTGCAGTACTTACGTTTAAACTTTCTTAAAATGTTCTTATTTCTATCTTGGTCTTTCCCTCATTCATATTAAAGGAATTTTGTATATTAAACATAGAAATCTCTGTGTGCTGACAAGCTGATTGGAAACTGTATGAGCAATGCTGGCCAACTGCCAGGATGGCTATAGGTTAATTGAATGTTGAGTTAAGCACTATAATGTGGAAACTCCCAACTGCCAAAACATGGAGGTCTTGTTTCCCTGACATTATTCAATTTATTTTTATAAAAAATATGTTTTTATTGCTTTCTAGAGAGAGAGGAAGGGGGAAAGAGAGAGATAGAAACATTGATCAGCTGCTTCCTGCACATGCTGTACTGGGAATCGAGCCCAAAACCTGGGCATGTGCCCTAATCAGGAATCTACTGGCAACCTCTTGGTATTTGGTTCTATGCTCAACCACTGAGCCATATCGGCTGGGCTCAATTTCTTTAGGGAAGAATGCTTCAGTTTTGTGCCTGGGGAGTAACTTCTCATTGCTGAAATATAACTCATCAGAGGTGTGTGTGTGTGTGTGTGTGTGTGTGTGCGTGCGCACGCGCACGTGTGTGTTTTGTTCCTGATTCAGACTTTCAGTTGACTGCCTGTGTTTATAGTACTCATCTCAGCCCTTCCTTCTATAACCTGTGCATTAGCACCAAAGCCTCAGCTTCATCCTGCTGCATCAGGCACCACTCAATTCTCATCTGTATTCCATCTGCCAGAATTTTGTTAAAATCTCTCACACTTTGTTGGACTCTGGATTCTCCTGTCTTCCTTTATGGGTTTATATATATATATATATATATATTTTAAACCCATCGTTTTGGTGGAATTCTGAGAAAGGGAGGAGATAAATACATGGAAATAGTTTTCAAGATATTAATTTCAAATGAATCAATGTCATTTTTAATCAGACAGTGTACTTAATTTTAAAAGTTTGTGTTATAAAGTTCCTCCTCTGTAAATTTTGTCTTGTGAATAGTGTAAATTTTCTGCCCAGAGGATTAAAGAAGTGATTCTCTCTGTGATTATGGAAGCAAGGTTCAAACAACCTAGGGTGGTTTTAAGTTTCCTACTGAGTAATCTGGTCAAGGGGAAAGTACTAAAAATACTGCATAAGGAAGTGTGAGATAAACTCTCTCTTTATGACTTCAGAAGTCTGGTTACTTATTCACAACTGGGATAAGAAAAATGGTTAAATAATTAGAGAAGTTCAACCAACCACTTGTCAAGTTAAATTTCATTTTGCTGCCAAACTGTGTTCCCATGCCTGCCTGCACCTCTCATTACCCTAGATTTCCAATACCAGGAAGAGAACAAGCTGCAGCATCACCTGGGCAGGCCCCTCCCAAGTCCAACTACTCACAAAGAATTTCCCCCTTGAGCTACTATGACATTGGCTGGTTACTCACACCATAGATTCCTCAGGATTGGTTGGGACTGCAAATAAAACACTGTTTGCCCATAATCAAGCTGATAAGCTACAGCATAAGTACACACAAATTCTTCTTCTTAGAATATAATATGAAGCATTTGCTCTCTTCTTTCCTCTTAACATCTTCATGCAAGACCCAGAGAGGAAACATTGTCTCTGGCCAAAAGGAAAATTCACTGAAGGAAAAAAGCTTAAAATGGGTCTGTGGAGTTCTAAAAACCCTAAAGTCAAGCAAGCCCAAATTCTTCTTCTGGGACTTGACTCTGCTGGAAAGTCTACTGTCCTTTATAAATTAAAGCTTGCTAAGGATATTGTGACCACGCCAACAATAGGTTTCAACGTGGAGATGATCGAGTTGGAAAAGAGACTTTCATTCACGGTCTGGGATGTTGGAGGACAGGAGAAAATGAGAACCGTGTGGGGCTGTTACTGTGAGCGCATCAGTGGGCTGGTGTATGTTGTGGATAGTACCGACAAACGGCGTCTGGAAGACTCCAGGAGAGAGTTTGAGCACATTTTGAAGAATGAACACATTAAAAATGTGCCTGTTGTTCTATTAGCCAACAAACAAGATGTGCCTGGAGCTCTGACTGCTGAGGACATTACCAGAATGTTTAAAGTGAAGAAACTCTGCTGTGACCGGAACTGGTACGTGCAGCCCTGCTGCGCCCTCACCGGGGATGGGCTGGCGGAAGGGTTCAGGAAACTCACTGAATTTGTGAAAAGCTACATGAAGCCAAGAGTAGACACTTTCGCATTCTTCAAGCAGAACTGAGCTCCAAGCAGTGAAAGATGAAGTTGAAAGGGTAATTTTTTTCCCCATGCCAAGTGAGAAAAGCAAGTTGCCGAGATGGCAAACTTTTCCTGAGATGTTATTTCACCTAAATTAAGTTAAACAACTCAGAATAATAGCTATAAAATATTATTTTTAGCCAGGCACTTTAGCAGACTGTGGTAATAATAACTGAGAATGAAAAATTCAGAATTTTGTGCATGTTGAATAGTTAAGAATAATTATATTTAGGACCAAATAAATTGTTGCTGTATTATTTTTATATGACTACTAAGTAAACTGTCTGTTAATAGAATCAGAATTCTTTCAGATTGTTTTCAGCTGTTACAAGTATTAACTTTCTAACACACTGCTATGTAATAGCTGGGTGGTGTAAAAAATCAACTTTAAATTATGGCGAGGAAAGAGTTTGATGTTCCCATTTTGTAGATTCCTATCTATCCCTTACATAAAATTTTTCTTCTGGATTCCTGCCAGATTTTTGAAATCTATTGCTGGGAACTTTATACAATGAACTCCAGGCTCTTAACTGCCCAGGGGCTGTGTGTCCATAGGAAGCAGACGTTTGTATCTTAAAGCTTTGGGTATCATGGTAATACCTTAGAGTTTAGGGCAAGGCCTGAGATTTAGCTCAGCTAGAGCTGCAGCCCCGAGCCGGGCTTCAACAGTCATTACTTGGGAACTATATACAGCTCATTGTACTGATCAAACAGGAACTGGAGCCAGACTTTGCTCTCAAGAGACCAATTCACAGGGGGTAATGACATAAAGCTAATTGTCAGAATAGGGCAATGAGTGCTACCTGATATAACAGGAGAGACTCTGACCTGGAAAAAACATGAAGTACTTCATGCAGGAAGTGGTATTTAAAAGGGTACCCAACTCCTGGGGACCCCACAAAGGTACAGGTTAGTCACTGAAAGTTCCCATTACTAGGAGACTCTCCAGAGGTGCTATGGGGGAGGGGAGAGTGAAGGAACTAAAGATTGGATTGGAATTCCCCTGAGGGGATCAGAACTCCCAAGGAGGCCCTGGTACTAACTCTTTCCTCCTACTCCACATTTAAAAAGCCTCATTTGGGCTAGAAGCAGGCCTCAAACCTCCACAGTAGACCCTGGGACTCCAAATCTTAAGGTCACAGAGAAAAATAAAGGTATAATAAAATAATGGTGCCAGCCCCTAGATTCCTTTCATGGTTTTCTTCTCTCATTTTAGCCATGATTTGTTTAGCAAATATCTGAGTAGCTACTTCTGTGCTACATGGTAGCAATTCAAATAATAAAGTAGACTTATACATAATAACTACCACCGGTCGTGTGTTGCTAGGCATTGTTCTAAACATTTTCATACATCTTCTCATTTAATGTTCATAGGCGTTATCTCATTTTACAGATGAGAGTACTGAGATTAAACAAGATTAAACAACAATAACAACCCTCCCCCCCCCCACCCACACACACAAAACAAGACTTGGTATTTTAACTGAGGAGTGGCAGAGGCAAGATTCAAACTTAGGTGTGTCTGACTTCAAGGCTTGTGCTGTTAATTGCCATGATATTGTTTTATAAATTAGGTATGATTTCTGTTTTCAATGAGCTGATAACACACAATTAAGAATAAATCCAGGCTCAGTTAAAACTAGAACTACCGTATGATCCAGCAATCCCACTTTTGGGTATATATCTAAAGAAAATGAAATTGCTATCTCGAAGAGATATATCTCTACTGCCATGTTCAATAAAGCACTATTTGCAATACCCCAGACATGGAAACTACCCACGTGTCTGTTGATGAATGAATAAAGAATATATGGTATATATGCACAATGGAATATTATTCAGCCACAAAAAAGAAGGAAATCCTGCCATTTGCAATGACACAGATAAAACTGAAAAGCATCATGTTAAGTGGAATAGGCCAGACAGAGAAAGACAAATACTGTATAATCTCCCTTACATGTAGAATCTAAAAACAGCCAAATTCCTGGTAACAGAGAGTAGATTGGTGATTTCTAGGAGCTGAGAGGTGGGAGAAATGGGGAGAGACTGCTCAAAGGCTACAAACTTTCCATAAGATGGGTAACTTCTGAGGATCTAATGTACAGCATAGTGGCCATAGTTAATAATACTGTATTGTATAATTGAAATGTGCTAAGAGAATACATTTTAAGCATTTCCACCAAAAAAAAAAAAGTAACTATATGAGGTGATGTTAATTAATTTGAGTGCAGTAATCCTTTTAAAATATATATCAAATCATCAAGTTGTATACTTTAATATGTTATTATATGTGCAATATAAAATATATTTTGTAAATTATACTTCAATAAATCTGTGGGGAAGAAAAAGAGACTAAATTCAGGCCAATATATATTACTTTTATAATAAAGAAGTTTCTTTGAAGAAATAAGCCATGCAGAATAAATTGAGTATAATAACAGAGATATAAGAAAAATGCTGAAAGACTGTGGCAAAAAGAGTTTCTGATTTGAGGAAGACCTCAGGGGAGTAACAATGTTAAATGCTTCATAGCAGGATTTTCCCAAAGTTTCACCAAATAATCAAAACCTCAAAAATGCATCTTTTTAAAAAAAATTTATTCATTTATTTTTGTTACAGATGTTTCTCCTTTTCCCCCCACTGATTCCTCCCATCCCCTCCCTCCCTGCCCTGTCCCCAGCTTTGTTTTCCATGTCCATTGTTCATGCACACATGCATATAAGTTCTGTGGTTTATGTCTTCCCCCTACCCCCTCTTCTGAGGATCGTCAGTCTGTACCCTACTTCCACATCTCTGGGACTACCCCATTCCTCAGACTGTTATGTTCATTATATTCCACTAATAAGTAAAATTATATGATACTTGTCTTTCTCTGTTTGGCTTGTTTCACTTAGGATGATACTTTCCAGGTCCCTCCATGTCGTCTCAAAGGATAAGAGATCTTTCTTTCTTACAGCTGCGTAGTACTCCATTGTGTATAGGTACCACTGCTTTTTTATCCATTCGTCTACTGATGGACACTTGGGCTGTTTCCAGATCTTAGCTATTGTAAATAGTGCTGCTATGAACATGGGGTACATATATTCTTTCCAATTGGTGTTTCAGGCTTCTTAGGGTATATTGCTAGAAGTGGGATCACTGGGTCAAATGGCAGTTCAATTTTTAATTTTTTGAGGTAACACCATATTGTTTTCCATAGTGGCTGCACCAGTCTGCATTCCCACCAGCAGTGTACTAGAGTCCCCTTTTCTCCACATCCCGGCCAACACTTGTTTTTTGATGATTTGTTGATGGTGGCCATTCTGACAGGTGTGAGGTGATACCTAATTGTTGTTTTAATTTGCATCTCTCTGATGATTAGTGATGTTGAGCATTTCTTCATATGTCTCTTGGCCATTTGTATGTCCTGTTTGGAGAGGTGTCTATTTAGATTCTCTGCCCATTTTTTAATTGGGTTCTTTGTCTTCCTTTTGTTGAGTTGTATGAGCACTCTATATATATTGGAAATGAACCCCTTATCTGATGTATCATTGGCAATTATACATCAATCTCTCATACAGCGGGTTGCCTTTCCATTTTGATGATTATATCTTTTGCTGTGCAGAAGCTTTTGAGTTTGATATAGTCCCATGTGTTCATTTTCTCCTTTGTTTCTGTTGCCTGAGGTGATGTATCAGTGAAAATTCTGCTGTGTACGATGTCTGAAATTTTGTTGCCTATAGTTTCTTCTAGGATTTTTATGGATTCATGAGTCACATTTAAGTCATTTATCCATTTTTAGTTTATTTTTGTGTATGGTGTAAGTTGATGGTCTAGTTTCATTTCTTTGCATATAGCTGTCCAATTTTTCCAACACCATTTATTAAAGAGGCTGTCATTACTTCACTGTATGTTCTTGCCACCTTTGTCAAATATTAATTGAGCATATTGCCTTGGGTCCATTTCTGGTTTCTCTGTTCTGTTCCATTGGTGTATATGCCTATAATTGTGCCAGTACCAGGCTGTTTTGATTACAGTGGCTTTGTAGTATAACCTGAAATCTGATAATGTGATCCCAAAAATGCATCTTTTAAAAAATGCATCATCCCTTAATATTTTTTGTATATATTATTTTATTCTTAAAATTGGGAGTCACTAACTTTTGTCTACAGAAAATGTCTAAATAGAAAATGTGTCCTGGTGTCCTGAGATTTTGATAGTTTGAATTGTCAAGCCCTTTGTGGCCCAGTCTTAACATAATACAAAATTCAGAGAAAATAGTACCCCCCCACCCAAATATTGAAAGTAATTAAAACCTTCACTTCAGAAAGCTCTGGGTGTGTGTGGTGGATGTAGTGGGCAAATATGCTCAGAACAAAACTTATAAAGTAGCTCTTTCCTATCTGTCATTTCAACATCCTTCCCCCATATAGCAACTATTCCCCAAAATCTCTACCAATATTTTCTCAGAAACTTGAGCGCTCTCATGCCTTTCCCCCTTCCTTTCCTGGGATCAAATTTTTCTTCCATCAGTCATTTGCTTTCCTTTCGATGTAAATTTTACCAATCTTTCTTTGGCATTTTCTTCCTGTTTTCCCTAGCATGTTCCACACACACACACACACACACACACACACACACACACACCTGGACACTCTTCACTCTGATCTATCTACTAATAAAGCCCAAAACTGAGGGAAGGGAAAAAGGTTAGCGGACAATAGCAAAATATTGCTTAGCAGGTGAGAAGAAAGAGGCTATGAATAGTCATGCCTTGATATTTATTATTGTCATAAATTTTTTTTATTTTTATCCTCACCTGAGGATATTTTTCCATTTTTTGTACAGATAGAGTGGGAGGGAGAGAGAAGAAGGGAGAGACAGACAGAAACATCGACGTGAAGGGACACATCGAATGGCTGCCACCCGCACGACCAACCAGGGCCGGGGACAAACTGCAACCGAAGTACGTGCCCTTAGCGGGAACTGAACCCGGGTCTCTCC